AAAAAAAAAAAAAAAAAAAAAAAAAACACATCATAGTAAAACCAATACCTTCTCAGCTTCGCATCGAAGCTAAAAAAATATCCCGGTTACGTGTTATTTTTTATTTTTAGTTCTAATTCTAACTTAGCTGATTTCACTTAAATCAAATTCGATGGGAAGTAAACAATGATAGTATAATTAAAAATATTGCGCGTAAGATAATAACAAATAAAAATTTCATTTTTCAAAAATTTTCTGATATTTTGTCATTAATGTAGCGTCATGTAGTTTCAAAACATTGTTTTTTAAAATTTAATTTTGCTAAATAAATATCTGCAAAATATATTATTTCTATGGAAATTTTAAAATATTATTTTTAAATATTATATGTATTATTTCTTATTAAAAAAGGGTGAAAAAAATATCACCTTTATCGCATATGGAAAAATTTTTGGAATACATTTATACTTGAATTATACTCTCTACTTATTGCGCCCTGGTATTCATTACCTCGTGAATTTTGCCATTTATAAAAATAAAGGTGACACCCTTATAAAGTTTAAAGGATAAACTAAAATATAAATAGATTGAGAAATATATAAAACTAAAAATTACTAAAAATAATTTTCTAACAAAATCATTACTCTAAGAAAAGTTGAGTGGATAGTGTTAAAAGAATCACCAGTATATCTTTTATCCGAAATTACATTTTGATTATCGTTTATAAATTAATGATTTTATTATATTCGCTTAAACTAGTTAAGTGATACTTGAATGATTTTTTGTGTTGCTTTCTAAGTGATATTACTGAACCAAGCATGGATGATGAAAAAAGCAAGTTGGCGAATAGCTAGAGTGTAACTCAATATAAAACTTTTCTGGTAACTCCCTCAGTCCTATTTATTTGATGCTTTTAGTCATTTCTGCGTAGGGAAAAGAAGATTGCTCGTCGAATATACGTGTTCAGCAGACACAAATTTTATAGGCGCGTGTGATGAGGTCGACCGAGGAATATACTACAAATCCCTTTTCTCCGAGCAGAAACTCTAAACAACTTAACATAGACATAACTAATAAGAAGTGGACGGAACTCCAATGGAATCAAGTTTGTGTGTGTGTGTGGTTTACAAAAGTTATCATCGCTGAAAGGTAAGTATTTAGATTATATTTATATAATATATGAATAGGACATGAACAAGTTTAATAAAATTCATAGACATAAGAAATGTTTTTTCTGCATGGAAATATATAAAATTCAAATAAAAATAAATTCAGAAGAAAATAAAAGCATACTAAATAATTCCTTAGGCTGGATTGAGATATTTTAGGGCCCCGAGGAAGATGTTTTAAGGAGGCTCCTAAAATTCAAATATTTATTCATTTTTAACTAAATTATAAAATAATGAATAAAATGCAAAGTAATCACTTTATTCGAACTATTATTCAGGGATCCGGACCATCCCGACGAGTCCACTTGACATAACTATGTGATTTTTTAATAACTTTATCTATTTTTATTATAGCCAAGATCAAAAATTAAAAAAATTATACGAAATTCTTATCGATTGGAAGAGGAGTAGTTGGATTTCATAATTTAAGTTCTTTTGAGATTATTTTAAAGAATAACGTACATAAAATTATGGTAAAATGACAAAGGATGCTATGAAATTTTTATTATGCCTGTATCCCAATAATTTTTAGTGGAAATGTATTTGTATTCTTATACAATACTTGTGTGTTTGGTTATATATAAATGTAAAATATTTAGTAAATATACTTTGCTTAAAATCATTCATATAATAATTAACAAATTAAATTTTTTAATTTAATTAAAAATTAATTAACAAAAACATAAGAGTGACATAATCCATTTTCTAATCAATTATCGAAAAGTTTATGTATATTAAAAAAATTAAATGAACCGTGTAACCGTATCAAGTTATTAATGAAAGGATAAGTAATTTTTTTCTTTACTAATAATAATGGTATCTGGCTTTTCTTACAAGATTTTTCAGATATCTTGTTGTAAAAAAGTACAGATATCATATCAATATTTTTATCCGAGCATATATCTGTAGTTGTAGCGCAAGAGTTATGTATACCTATTGCAACAAAGGTTAAATACGAAAAAAAATGTAATTAAGCCGATTTCGATTTTTTAACTATTAAAAAAATGAAATTTTCTCGGCTATTTTTGTTATAATTTATTAATAAAAATATAGTAGTCAGTTTAGACTATGAATCCAATTTTTAATGAGTTCACTTAATTTATTTTAATTTTATATAAAATAAAAATTATGTTACTCACCAATTTATATTAGAGTTTAAAATGTAGTTTTTAGCTATTAAGAATTATTTTTTACTTTTATTTTCAGTTTTTATATACACTTCTGTTGTCATTTAAAATTAAAACTTAAAACATTATAGTAAAGTGCATAGAAATATATTATTAGATATGGTTTTTTTTCATTATTCCCAACTTTTCATAGCGGTCTGAATTTAAATTGAATACAGGGGACCAAGAACTTTTACTCATTTTTTGTTTTTCCCTTCTATTTCTATAGACTAAGAAAAAACTTTACTCGTCTGTCAGTTGTTTTAATAAAATCGTACATGTATATATATTTCCCTTGGCGTAGACGGTGAGTGTAATATTTACGGTAACTCTCTAAGTATAACTATTTGGAATTATATTGTAAGAAAAAAATATTTATTAGTAAACCTAAAAGCATTTTCAACTTCTTAAAGCAATTATTTGAAATTTCAGTTCACTTTTTTACTCTTATTTAATCAATTTTACTCATGAGAGCTTTTCTTAACCATAATTTTTTCAGAGACGTTATTTACTATATGGGTGCAAATTTATGATGATTTAATGGAAATTATTATTAATGTACTTGATAATATAAAACTTCTGTAATACACTTATAATATGAAAATAATAATATTATTTAATTATGTATTTTTTAATGTCCGAGATGGTGAAAAAACTCAAATGTTTCGATCAGTCAAAGGTGTACGAGCGTTTCTCACTTTTTAAATTTATTTATCGATTAGTTTGAAATGTCTAATACTAGTTACTTAGTATGGAATATAAATAAAAAATTAATACAATTTCTAATAACAAATATTTATGTGGTTAAGGTATTTAAATTTTAAGTTAATTTTCTGTATAATAGAATTCATAAATACGTTTCTTGTCATTTTTCAATAAAAATAGAAATAATTTTCATATTAATATTCCTTTATATTCATATTTCTATAACAATTTTTTACTGTAATTAGTTTCATTATTGCTGTTATTAGTTGATTTGAATATAAATGGGAAGGCATAATGCTCAATTTGTACAATTTAATGACGAATACTTTTTAATTTTCATTGTAATTAAAGAAAAAGGTAGGACGCCACTAAATCCTGAGTGGTTACAGTAATCCAAAATTATTAATGATTAGCTTAGCTTAATTTCAATTATTGGTGGTCAGATTATGAGCTATACACAAAGCTAAATCACACTCCTATATTTTCTAATAATAATAATGAATTAATCAGTTTTTTGTATAAAATTATTGTAATACTTAGAATATGTTAAATGGTAGCCATATCTATGTTTTTTAAATCTTTTAACAAAATGAACAGGTCATATATATTTGTATATTTTTTAATCTATTATTTTATTATTTTTTTAGAGAATTTTTTTTATTCAAAAAATATACAACTGCTAAAATTTAGATCATACAGGTAAAACATTGATTTTTTTTCCTCTTAATGCGTTTAAAAAAAACGTTATTGTCTCATTTGACAGAATTTTAAAAAAACATTTAAAATACTTAATTATTTAACTTACCGAAAATGTTTTAGTATTGTAATAATATCCATCATTATAGTATACTATGAAAACCTGAAACAAAATCACATAAATGTTTATTCTCTTTTATACATCTTTTAACACTAGAGTTTTGTCAACAACTAGTGTGACTACCGCGCTACACTAAGTCTATTTTTACTAATAATTTTACTATAATGTATTTATTCTATTTAATTTAATTTTTTTGTATTTGTTGTTATTTGTTCTTAGCTCTCACTCGACCGATTTTTTGAATGATACATCAAATTATCACAAATCATATCTAGTTGAAGATATTACCCTCAAAAATTAAAATATATCCTCCGTTATCCGTAAATGAGGGGAATCCCAAAAAATGTACAACTTTTACATGAAAAGATTATCTTTTTAACTTAAATTTTAAAAATGTTCCGGAAATAGAACGAGTTTAAAACATATGTTAAATTAAATTAAAGAAATTTGAAAAATTCATACTTACAATTTTGATACATTTTTGCTATAGAAGTATTCATTACTTCTATATTTCATATATAGAACTACTTTATAATTTTTATAATTTCTCCGTTTTTAATACAAAATATTAAATATCAATTTCATACTAAATTTCTATATATATTTATTCATGTATTAAACTTATAAATCGTAAAATTTGTAATCAAGCTATATTTAAGGTAATAGGGTTTTATGATGCTTTTGGAATAATCTAATAATTCCTTTTTTAAAAAATTGAATGCTGTATACAGTTTGCATAAAAACGTTGTTTTTTATAATGATTTTAATCACTGTCAAATATCGTCTATACTTGTCCCAACTATGCGTTCCCACTAAAAATAATATTTTCCCTTATATAAAAATGTACTTTTCTCGATGTTATAAAGATTTGGTTAAAGTAATAATATTAAGGTCTATTGGTAAACTTATTTCAAGGCTTGCTAAAACTTATGTTCCTATTGTTTTCAACTTTACAAATAATATTATAACAATGAAAAGGAAGAATTGTGTAAGTTCATATTTGATATTTCCGGATAAGTTATTGTTAAGAAATATTTAAACATAAATTTCATGACACTAAAATTATCATTTAATTAAAAAAAAAAACGTTTGCTTTATTTTTATTTTATGAAATATATTTTATCAAGGAAATATTTCATAAAATTAAACGTATAATACGACAAAAGACAAAACTTTGACTAAAACCATACAGAAAATGTTCATTATTTATTAAAACAATAAAATGAGCTACGATAAAATGTAATGAACATGTTAAATCATGAGTTCTAAATATTTAAAAAAAATTATTTATACAATTATTATTATTATTATTTTTTTAATTATTTAAAACATTCTATCTATTTTTGAGACTTCAAATTTTAATACTAATATTTTTTTAAATTTATTATGCAAAACACAGTGTGTCTATTATTATATATAACATAATTCTTATTACTAATAAGAATTATTCAATATTTTGAAAATAACGAACAATATTTTACACTGATTCAACATATTTAGATATGTGTAGTTATACATTTATATGATATGAAATAAAAGAAACGATACGAAATTTATTATAAGCTTGACAATAATATGAACATTTAATATGAAAAAAGAGTATGATGCGTATTTAAGTGAGAAAAAGCAATATCATGTCGCATTCTATAATCTACTATAACAAGAAGATCTGAAGGTATTTCAATGTTTTTCTCCGAGAAAATAATATTATTATATTTATTATACTATGATACTCAATTTAATACAATTTTTTTTTTTTAATATACACTACTATGAATGTTACTAAATTTGGATTTAAAATTTATTGGAAATTTAATTATATGTTTTTTACAGTCTATACAAATTATTAAAATTTATATTCTATACAATTCATACTTACTATTATAAAGCGGTGATACGCTGTATAATATTAAAATAATATGAGTTATTTCTGAAATATAGTATTTGAATTGTTATCAGAAATATAGATGATTTCAATTTTCAAAATATATGATCAACGGTAATTAATGTATCCAATGGCACTTATTAATAACAATGCCCTATGGAAGCCCATGTAGCGCAGTGGACATCTAATTGCAGTTAACACTAGGTGATCACTCAATAATTAACAGCAGCCAAAACGTGCTGCTCACATACGACGGCGACCGAACGGGGTTGTTTAAAGTCCACATTTTTTAATAATAAAAATAAAGAATTATAATATAATTCTATATAGAAATATTATGTTTACATGTGTATTATAAAGCTTCGCAATAAATATATTTAAAATAAATTTAATACTTAATACTGATGTTTCATAACTGATAAAGTATCACTTCAACAGACAATTATTTGATTAAGAATAAATTAAATAAATAATTAAAAAAATATTATTTTTCATTAATATCACATAATTTTGTACCAGATATTTGTGTAGTGAAATAGAATTATCTAACCACTTTTTTAAATTTCTTAGAATTTTTAGACTTATTGTGTTATTTGATTGAAAAATGCTAAGTTCTATACTTGAGATATATACTGTTGGATTTTTGGTGGTTATACTATTATCTCGTCTCGTATTGAACTTAATAAGATTATCTGAAAACCTATTTTTGTACATTTTGCTTGAAACACCTTTTAACTTGATTGCTTGTTATACACTAAAACCGGACGACTATCTGCTGGACAATAATACCTTGTACATTGACGTTGCCAATACCACTGCAGTTATGCTAAGACCTTTAGTTGTTCGAGTTGTTGATGTAAATAACGCTTAAACCAAGAACAATGCTATGATCTTACTTAGATTAAATGACCATTGTAGTATTAACATGAACTTATATGGGATATTTATACGACAGGTTAAATATTTATGGGATGCAAGTTTTATTTTATAAAATTTATGGTATACTTTTAAATAGCATTAAATAGACAAATAGTGAATATGTATCTCACAAGAAATTAAACTTTATATGGTATGATAATATTTATATTTTATTGGGAAGCTTTTATTGTTGATTTCAAAGCTTCAGTTTTTCATATAAAATTGAAAATATTATATGTAAGATTAAATCGAACCCAAATCTAAGAATAATCAGCTTAAAAGTCCGTTATTCGGACTAAAAATTGTTTGATGTTTCATTTTAAATAATGACAAAAATTAAACAGGATAAATCCAGTTCAGTTTAAGTTCAAACAATTTTTTTAGATCCTTATAAACAAACCATTTAAATTTTAATTCAAATGTCGTAACAATTCCTTAAAATATTACCAAACGTTAGATTTTAAATAAGAAATTGCAAACACTCCGAAACAAATACTTAAGAATATGTCTTTAAGTTCCATGGTTTATGAGATACCGTTAAATACACAATGACATAGGTATACTATTCCTTAGAGACTGGATCAAGGAACAATTCAAACATTTTTATAAGAAATTCAAAAATAATGATGGTGCAATGTATTACCACATTGGAAAGAAAATGCCAAGCAGACGCTTAAAACCTGGTCTCTCTCAAAATATTTCCCTATTAGACGGTTCCTTCTCAAACGAAGAAAATAAATAAAAATGTAAATATGTACTAAAAATATAAAACAAAATCACTATTTTTAATTTTAATATCTTACGATAATACAATATACGATATAATATAATATTATGATACAAAACTTATGTATTATGTTAAAACATTTTATTATAAAAATAAATAAAAAAAAAAACTTTTGTAAGAAAATACATTTCATCGTATCTATGAAATCTATTATTAATCATATGTAATAAGAAACAAAGATTCCATTTTACAATTTTTTATTTTTTTATTTATATTTAACGTTGACCTTCTCTCTATAGCTATTGGTTGTTCCAGAAAAGACGGGAAAACTTACATAGCCCAGCGCAACAGAATCGAACCCCTGTAACTACGTACTGAGGCGCGACGCGTTACAGTCTATCTAGGTATGCCACCTAAAATTAAAAAAAACATCTGATTTTTTTTTTGTTTTTTTGAACTATATAAAATTACGTAATAATTACATAAATTTCTTTATATGTAACATAAATATAAAACAATAAAGAGCAGTATGTCAGGTTATCACACTCCTTCTCACATTTCCGAAGAAACGCTGATGGTACGAGCCTTGAATATTTAATTTCAAAAACGCATTACTGGAGTATAAAGAGCATGTGAAATTTAGTTTAAAAATAAAATGTTAACATAAAGAGACATCTCTCAAAATTCCGACAACGCTACAAAGTAATCAGAAAATAATATAATTATTATAGTTTTATTCTATTTTTTCACTAATACAAAGTAATGCATTGATTAATTATTTACAAAATAAAAATAATTTTGGGAATATTTTTTTGTCTTTTTTAGTTACATATAATGTATATATATATTAGGTTTCGATTAGTTGAAGTTCCGCCCCACACCAGGTGCCTTGCAGGCTTGACGCGCCTATGACACGTTAGGCCCTTTGCGGTGTCTTTACAGATAGGCTACTGATTCTGGTAATAGTATTCGGCAACACTGGCCATGATATGTGTTGTGTAAAAATAGTATAACTCCAAAAGCAGTTTACCAGAAAATTATTCCCACTTATAAATTAAATAATAATTAAAAAAATAATAATATGACAACAAAATACTTAACTCACAATTATACTTCATAACAATCCAATAATTATTATTCCAAACAAAAAATAGACAAAAGAAAACTTAATAATCATTAAAAACAATCTTTAAATGTCATGTTATTAGTGAAAACTACATATACTAACATAAATTTAAACGAAATTCAGATGTGCAAAGGAAAATCATATTCTATTAAAAAATATGCACGCGAAAAAAACCTCATAACTTAGTGAAAAATGAACATATTTCAACAAAATTTTTAGGGTACCTTTGAAATGTCTTAGGACAGGCCCGGTACAAATTTCAGGATTTAAATCATAAAATGCTGATGAAAATAGGCGTTTTTGATAACACTTTAAAACGCTCTCGATGTACTAAAAAAAATTTCTCATCTTTGCAAATAATATTTCTAGAATAACGTTTTCAAGTT